TCTCAACTGGCTTTACGTCGTGTACTTCAGCGTATGGATGTTGCTGGTAGAATTGTGAACTGGGCCATCGAGCTTAGTGAATACGACATCACTTTCCTCCCCCGCACCGCCATCAAGTCCCAAGTGTTAGATGATTTTGTTGCGGAAGGTGTTCGAGCATGTCTCCCACCAGAAACAGAGACTTTGAGATTGTATGTTGATGGTGCATCTAGTAAAGGTGGATCAGGTGTAGGAGTTCAACTCATTATTCCTCTCGGAGTCACTCAAGAATTGGCAATTCCCTTTGCCAACACCATGACAAATAATGCCACAGAGTATGAAGCCCTCTTAGGAGGACTGAATATGGCTCAAGAGTTGGGCATTCAACGAATTAGGGTCCACTCCGAGTCTCCCCTAGTTGTCAATCAAGTGCAGGGGGCATACGAGGTACGAGAGCCCGTGCTCGTACTATACACCAATGTTGCTCGTATGACACTCTCAGAGTTTCCTCAAGCCAAGATAGTCCATATCTCGTGAGGATAATCTTCATGCAGACGCATTATCAAAACTTGCCACAACAAAAGACTTCCTGAGTGAAAGGCATGTCATCATAGAAAGACGTCCCATGATGTTATGTGCCCAAGTTACCTCATTTCTAGCACAATCCGACTGACGACACCTTTCATTGAGTATCCAAAACATGGACTCCTGCCCACTGACCAGAAGGAAGCCATTTGCCTTAAAAGACGTGCCCCTCGTTAACTCCTGCTCATGGGAGATTTATACAAGAAAGGCTTCATCGGACCCTACCTGCGGTGCCATACGCTTGGCGAAGCACACTTTGCCATACAAGAGATACATGAAGGGTCATGTGGTATGCATGCCAATCCTCGTAGCTTGGAGAAAAACCCCTCTATGGCAAGGTTATTACTGGCCCACGATGCGTCGGGACAATCGGAAATATGCTCAGGCATGCCCCAAATACCAAATTGCCGCGCAAACTACTCATGCACCTCCACCAAAAATGCAGGTTAACATCGGGTCATAGCCATTCGCTCAGTGGGGATGGACTCTTTGGGACCCTTTCCCACGACTCCCAACGAAAGAAATGGCTGATCATAGCTATTGACTATTTCACCAAATGGATCAAAGTTGAGGTGATCACTAGCCTATCCACTCAGCGAGTTGAAAGTTTTTATGGCTAAAGATCTTATGTCGGTTCAGTCTACCTCTCACCCTAGTCATGGATCAGGGGACACAATTCAAGAGAGAATATTTACAGACCTATTGCGCCCAATATGGAATCCTTCTCCGATATGCCTGTGTGGCCTATCCGTAAGCTAACGGTCAGGCTGAGGCTGCTAACAAAAGCATCCTATGGGGCTTATAGACCAGATTAGGCCAAGCCAAAGATCAATAGGTCTAGGAGCTACCCCATGTTCTTTGGGCCCACCAAACAACTTATAAGACTTCCAATGGGGAAACGCCATACCCCCTAACTTATGGCACCGATGCTGTGTTGCCAATTGAAATGGAGCTCTCCTCTTACAGAATCCAAGCATTTCACCTCGATGAAAATCAAATCGAGCTTACTCATGATCTAGATCTCATCGAGGAGCGTCGAGAGGAAGCACTTTTGCGACTCGCCTCTTACAAGTCAGGGAAAGTTCACCCCCCCCCCCCCCCCAGTGGGAGGGTCCTTACAAAGTGCGTAAAGTGGTGGAACCAAATACTGTAAAACTATCACTCCCTGATGGTCAAGACATGTCAAGGACTTGGAACACAATGCATCTAAGGAGATACTTTACTCCATATATATGGTACACCCTCTCTATCTTCTAAATAAACACCCCTATGGATTTGCTCCCTAAATAAATACCATGGTAGGGTGAAAGATAGCTAGCGATAAAAGCAACATGTTTATTATGGTTATTACAAAAGTTTGGAAGCCCATTGTACAGTACCTACTACAGATGTTTATAAGCTAAGCTATTCACATGACCGAGTATCTTACATGATATTATTTCAAGTTAGAATTTCATAAGCTTTAGTTCTATAAAAAAATCTGGGCCTAGTAACTCTATTGCAGCCAACAACATTGCCGTAGAGACATTAAAATCTGAATGTACAGGAGTGCCAACCATTGGAGGTCATTTAGAAACAACATCTAAAAGTGGCGAGACGGGATGGAATTTAATCTCCACATTTGAAATGGGGCTTGCTGCCTCCCCGGACTGAGGAGCACAAACGCATTCCTCCATGACATTTATAATTTGGGATGTCACCTCATCAGGTTCCAAAGTACTCGCACATTCCTCCATCACTTGACGAAGGCGAATGTCATCAAGATATCTTGCAGGATACATACTATAAATTGCCTTCTTAGCCAGACGATGGACATTATCCATCACTCCCGAAACCGCCATCTGTAGCTGATGACATAGAGTATTATTCTCTTATCGGAGGGTGGTGTTTTCCGAGTGTAAACCAGTATTCTCCAACCGTAAAGACCTCCTGATTAGCCTCTCCTTACTCATATTGGCGTGAAGTTGCTCAACTTTTTCATGAAGTCCAGCCCCAGCTGCTTCTGAGGTACGCAACTCTTGTGTGGCTGCCTCAACGTGCTATTAAGCCTCCACCATTTTTGCATTCCATTAACAGGACCTAGAAGAAAATTGCTCCTCTCTTGTCTTCATTTAGAGCTTCATTTCCTCCAAAGAGTGAGTTGCCTCCTCTCAGGCCTCAGTTGCCCGAAGCTTTGCCATAATTAGGCTACCCTCCATAGTAACAGCATACCTCGCCAACTACTAAAAAAGCAGCAATGTCAATAAATCATATATGAATTAAAGATCCATGAAGAAAAGGAAGAATATAAAAACACCTCTGAAATGGACGAAGCAAAAGTGGATCCAGTAGCTACATCATCTAAAGCGGGGAAGTATTTTCCCGCCTCACAAAGGGTGTCATAAGTTATGACACCACCAGTCAAGATTCCATCTTTATTGACTCTTAAAGACCCCCCCCCCCCCCCCCCCCGGCTCCTTCAAGGTTCCCTATCGCACACTAGGCTTTTTCCTTTTCTGACTCTCCCCTCAGAGCGACACTTTCCGGTAGGTGAATCCCCCTGATTCTCGCACTGAGGAACAATTTCTCTTCGGCTTATCACGATGAACTCCCAATCGTCTGCGAAGGGGATTATCTGGTATCTCACGAATTGACACCCCAACGTAAGAACGAGGCACTACTGGCACCTCCCTATTCTTCAGGAAAACCTTAAACTGGGAATAGTTTGCATGAGGATTACAATTAGAAAGTCAGTCACAAAAAAGGGAAGCATTGTAAAATAAAGACATACCTTTACCATAGACAACAAGAAACAAGCATGCTCGAAGGAGTCAGTCATGTTGTACAACAATCTCTCCCTTAATCACGGGATCTTGAAACCCTCCTGTAACACCTCCATTCCATTCAGTCAGAACTAGGTTACCTCCCGAAGTAAACTCACCAGGCGGGGCAAGAAAATAAAAGAATTCAGTCTCCCAGGACCCTTTCAAGTGGCTAAGCAAAGTGGAGAGATTATTGGCTGACTTACGCTTGTGCAATTCCCAACTAACTCGGTTATGACGGAAGAAAAAGCAGGCGTAAAACAACTCCGGGTAGTAACCCCAGCTCGACGGCATGACAGGGTAAAGCAAGCGATGAAAGTCCAAAAACAAGGACTAACTAAGTCGATAGAAAGCTTACTACGTTGCATTACCACGCACAACCAAGGAGGCAACGGTAGTCGAACCTCATATTCAAGAGAAGAGCGGAAAGTGATCGCCATGATGATGGGTGACTTGCAGCTGAAACAAATCTATTGGGCAAAGCATACCTCCAGTGATGAGGCATACCATACGACACCAGCAGCTCCTGTAGTCACCTTTCGCTTTGCGTAAAACCACGTCCCAAGCCTCCCACTGGGTACTCTGGAGGAACTCGACCCAAAGGGTACATCACCACCCAAGGGAAAATATTGAAACCCAGGGAATTAGATGCTATATTTTGGTACCCACCGGCATCTAAACCACTTGCCCGCACAAGGTGGAGGGAGGCGGTATCACCATAGAACTATGATTATTGCGGGATGTGGAAGGTAAACTCGACATTTTACAAAATGGTAAAATAAAAATTTACTTTATGTAAGTTTTTATATGGGAATGGTAGAGTAAAGGTTTATTGTGGGTAGACTTTGTAATGCCAAATGGAAGTTGTAAAGAAGAAGTAAGGAGCAGGAACTTGTGAAGCTGTGAAGTCGGAATGAACAACGTTCCCCTCCGCTTCAGCATTTATAGGCGTGACACTTGAGACGGGGTCCAACGCCGACTTACCGGCAGAAAATGTCCGGATGAACTCCGGATTTTTCTTCGGTAAGGGGGGCAATTGATGGACCCTGTTTTTAACCAATAAAATTTTCAAAATATTAAACATCTCTCCTTTGGTTAATACACATGATAAATTCTTAATTATTACGGTACCTGAAACACCCTAAAATTTACACTGTATCATTGTATAAATCGGAATCTTTCCTAAATTATTAATTTCGTCCTCTTTCTTTTCTTAGATTTTCTCATAAACTAAAATTTTTGTCTCTTTCCCTACTTCCATTCTCCCAAGTGAGATGGTAGAAGCCTCTCTTCACTTCACTTTACTTCCCTTCCTTTCCTTTCTATTTTCCTTTTATCAATTCTTTTTACTCCCTCTCACTTTCCCACATGCATGCATGAAGAAAGAACGACCCACCCTTCCCCGTTCACTAACTTTCATCCACTTTCCTACACTTTCATACATTTTCATACACTTTCCTACACTTTCCTTCACTTTCTCCTTCATTGCTCCTCTTTCTTTCATTTTCTTGCATATTCATTTACTTACATACATATTCATGCATATACATGCATATACGTAAATGTTTCTAGTTTACATTACCCATACTCCTTTATTTTTCCTTATATACTTACACTTTCTCATACTTTCGCATACACACTTGGATATTCTCATATACCATAATTATTGAGAAATATTAGTGTATCACGGAGAATGTTAAGGTATTACGGAGAATATTGGCGAGTATTGGGGAATAACAAAGAATGTTTGTGAATGTTGACGTAAGTCTAGGAGTTCAACTACGAATTTTCTCTATAAATATGGAGCACCCCCCCCCCCCCTCCCCCTCTTCACAACATAATTCAACACACAACATAAGTCGCTTACGACTACTTCACACAACACAACTCACACACAATACACACTCTGTCTCTACTTTCTCTCTCTAAAAACGTTTCTCTCCTCCCGGTATCCCAAAACGTGTTAAATCTCTAAACACTCAACACACCCTAATTTGGCGGACTAAGCCATGGAATCGTGGATAGTCTTACCCGAGCGGCATTAAATAGCCGACGATGCTTAATTACAACTGTGAGACCAAACCAGGTCTAACGTCATCGTATTTATTTTATTCCATTCAGGTTACTAATTTGAGCATCGGAGGAGGTTCCACAGGACTCCCTAGGTGGAACCTTTTTTTTCATGTATTCGCACGGAGCTGGAGGTGGTTAAAGGCTTTGGGAAATCAGAGCTCTCTGGACCTTAAACATATTGAAGCAGGCTGCTCTAAACTTGACATCAACAGTATCTTTCATCGCTTTGTTGATTGTAAAGGGGGTCAGAGAGGATGAATCTGAGTTTCTGACTCTTAAACACATTTAAGATTTTGGGTGGAGTTTGCAACATATGAAAATTTAGATGTCTAGAATTGCGAGTTTGGTTGTTTTGAACTTTGGGACTTTTTCTCTAACCCAAAGACCAAAACATGTGGGAACTTTGAGACTTTTGGGGTTCATAAACGATAATCAGGCCTGGCCCAGACCCTGTGCTGGTCAGACCCACAGCACAAGGCCTTAATTTCTGGGGGCCTCATAATTCATAACAGACAGAGCTGCATTCCCTTGGGCCTTGCTCTAAACTGGGCCCTCATAATCCGAGACGGAGCTTCACCCCCAGACCCGATTGGGCTGGCTAGCGCAAGGCCCACTGAAAAAATACATGTACAAGACAACAACTGGCAAAATCGAACCATGGACATCCACTTCCATTAAAAGGAGATTTAACCACTGAGATAGAAGTAGTTTGATGAATTTAAATTAATAGTTAGAGTATTTAATGCCTCTTTATCTCTTTCCCGAAAATTTCTCAACTTTCTAAACCCATGGAAGGCCTAAAAATCATTTTTCACAACAAATTTTAATTAACTCCTAATCAATGTTCATCCCTCCTATTATTTAATAATTTTTATTTTTAATAAATTTGTGAGTTAAATTTTGGGGCCACAATTTAAAATTGTAGAACAGGGCCTCCAAATATCATGTGACGGCCCTGTCCAATATTTTTTTATATCAATTGTCTCTAAATTTATATACTTTTTATAGAATAAATCTACCCGCTCAATTCCTTATGAAAATATCTATGGCAAAAAAAAAAATCATGCCAAAGTCATCACAACCCTTTATGGTCATGAAGGCACCCTTAAACGTCAACCTTGTACTCATTTAATTGGTTCATAAACGTCGAATATACTGTTCCACCCGCATATAGTAAAAATAGTATAAAGCAGTAAACAATGCTTTCGGTACTGAGAATAATCCAACCATATTCACTTCTTATCTCATTCGCATGGAATATGTAAATTACACTACTATTTCCTGCAACTTCCTACTTGGAATTCCCAGCTGGCCTCTTTCCCTAACCAGCGCAGAAGGTGAGAAACAATGGAAAACATCTGTTGCGTGAATCGTTGAAGCTGACCTCCAATCCCTTCCTAATCTGATATGAAATGGCAATAAATATAACATATATATTAAAAAAACTTGCAGCATGGTCTTTAACGTACCAAGAAAATGAGAGAGAACCCTCTGGGAGGAACATTGTTGAACACTGATGACGATCAAGGCTATAGCCATGGTTGCACTAAAGTTTTGGAGGAAAGCAGCGGGTCTAACATGAAGAAGAGAAGCTTGTCAAATTTGCTAAGGAAACTGCATGAAACCTAACAAGATTTCAACTTTATGTGCTAAGTCCAAATGGAATATATTCCTTGTCCCTCCCCTCTCTATACTTGAGATTTCATACCATAACGTATGACCTTATCAGTTCCAAATTCAAAAGGAATGAAAGCATATATATATATAAAGTCACACACAACACAGGCCTCAAAGTCGGTCTCTGCAGTTCATGCAAGTTTTGTGACACCAATGGAACCTTCTCTCCGCTTCATAACTTTGAGGTGTCCCTCACTAACGACAAAGTTGTCGCTCTTCATTGTGCCATTATCCACTACCAACAGGACATTTTCTCTGAGTGGTGCTGGATAATATATCACGTCTTTTTCATTCCTCCCTTCTGATCGATCAAATCTACTTTATCATGTTTGATTTTACGGTCTCTTGGGTTTTCCCCTTACTTAGTTTAGTTTGATCAGAATATATGTGGTAAAAGTGGTGCGGGGAAATGAGAGGAAATATGAAAGGTTTTCTTATATTTTGATTTTGATTTTTGGTGTGGCAGAGAAGGGTAATTATAAAAGCTCGGGATTTAGAGCTTTAAGCCAAATTTGAGAGATAATTTCTATTTTGTGTCAATTATCGGAGATTTATTCAAATAGTTTTCAGGGAGTCGTGATTATGATAACTATTTTGAAAGATTCTATTGGATTTAAGTCTTGTGCTTGAATTTTGGGTTGGGGGAACGTATCCATAGTTGGACGGCCTTAATTTATGCTGCAATTATTTATTCCTAACTTGGAAGACGAGGTTCAAGAACACCCGAGGATGATGGTTTATCTCACTTCTTCTAGAGGCCGCCGACGAAAATGGTGGCGGTGACGAGGTTGAGAGTTTGGGACGGGTAATACATGCCCCAAAACATGTCCACAAGTCGGGTAAAACGGGCCAGGTCAAATTGTCATTCCTAGAGGCTATAATCCCTAAATTCTAAAAATCAAGTAAAATTACATGTAAATTTATTAATAAATTTGGATAATGTAATATATTTTAAGCTTTATTCCTCCATAAAAATTTGAATTATTTACGTATAAGTTTTAATCTCTTTTTAGATTTCTGACTCCACTGCTACTGCTCTTTTAACATTTTCCTTGAATTTCCAGTTCAGTCACTACATAAAGTTAGCAAAAGTCACGTTGGCCAAACAAATGAAGATGTATAATTTTCCATAGATAAGAGAACAGTAAGGGATGGGATTAGTACAATACTAACCATCTTTGTAGCCACTAGATTAAAATCACAATCCAAGGGTTATAATTAGTTTGAGGTTATCTTTGTTAATTAAATAATTAATTCTCTTAACCCTAATTATAAAAATCACTCAGCCGTTCTCCTCACTCCCCAGCCTCTTTCTCACAACTTCCTCTACCACGAAAATTGCTCCTGCTATTTCTAAAGATTTAGATATAAAATGGAGTCTGGGTTGCTAATGCTCTTTGCTGGTGAGGAACAAGAGAGCAAAACATAGGGAGAAGCGGTTGTTGGGTTCGCGGCTGAGGGTGTCTCATCGTTCCCTCGTCGACAGCGTCTGTGACGGCAGCTGGTAGAGAGAGCCGACGAACCGGCGGCAATCACTAGCAGAGAAAGCTTTCCGCCGTAGAAGATCGCATCGGCTAGGAGTAGGTGACATGCGCTTCGCTACTCGCAAGTGGAACTCCTTGTGCTCCCTCTCTCCTTTGCGGTTTCTCGTTGCAACACCGTTTCTGCTCTGCTCTGAAGTTGTTGGAGGTCGGGTCTTCGTACTGGAGCGGTGGATCTTCGTACTGGAGAGGCGGATCTGCGGCAGCCCTTGATCCCTTAATGGATTGCGGCGGGGACATATCTGACTAGTGACTCTTGGGATATTATTAGCGATTTGTGTTTATTTCTGATCTCTAATGATGGCGAGCACTAATCTTAATGATGGAAAATTAGGGTACTGTTTGCTTCTTGGATACTAACGTTAGTAGTGTTTTTCCAGTAGTAATTGTGTAGTATTGATACTTATGTTATTAGTGTTTTCCGGTAGCAATTGTGCAGTACTGTTACTGATTCATTTTAATAATGAATATGTCATCCTTGCTTTCTAAAAGTTAGCAATTACTACTACAGAGTACAGAATCACTACTGATAGTTTTTTAAACACTAAAAAAAATGTAAAATCACTACTGGAACACACAAAGATCACTATGAATATAAGTTGTAGTAATTTTTTGGTAGTACATTTTTTTACTTTGGAAATCTGTAATTAAAAATAAGAGAAATATATTTCAAAAATTAATTAATTTATTAAATTTTAATTTATCGAAATACCAAATATGCCTCTCATTGCTACTCACCGTCAGATCTAGACATATGTATTGAACGGTGATTAGAGTGGTTAGCACGATGCTAACCCCTATGGAGTTAGCACTCTAACTTCTCCCGAATAGTAAAGGTCGAAGACACTATAACCACACATCGGTTGCAAAAACTATTTAACGACCAGAATGGTTTGGTCGCCCTTTTTATCATGTGTGCGACACCAGTACCAATCGATGGGTGCATTGTAATATTGTGCGCGAAAAGCAATGATTTTGCGGTCAAAATGGATTGGATTATCTAATCATGACAATATCCACCAAAGACGGATAAGGATTACTTAAGAGTACATTTCTTGTTGATTCGGGCCTAATTGTACGCATTTTACCTCCGTTTTCTTTAGGCATTTGTGACAATTGTGCTCCTTAAAGGGTGGTTTTACGCTAGGTTTCTTGTGTTTTAGCACGTTTTAGGATCTAACAGGTGAAACCAGCCCCGGAGTCGAAAGTTGGACGAAAATGGCGAAAAGCGGGAGGAGAGGTGAAAAACCGGCAGTTCACGGTTTCCCTTGTGAGTTCACGGTCTGCTAAGACCGTGAAGAGGAGGCATGGGCCATGAACATCAAGGCGTCCAGGGCACTTGTCAAAGTTACTGACGCCAGGCGAGTTTTCCCTTGTGAGTTCACGGTCTGCTAAGACCGTGAAGAGGAGGCATGGGCCATGAACATCAAGGCGTCCAGGGCACTTGTCAAAGTTAATGACGCCAGGCGAGTTCACGGTCACTAAGACCGTGAACTGGAGTTGTTGCCCGTGAACCTGAACAAGCGAAGGGGTGTGTTTCGACGCCAACCTTGAGTTCACGGACGCGTTCAAGAGTTCACGGCCGTGAACTGAGCCCGATCCTTGTTTAAAAGGAGAGCTGAAAGGAAGAGAGAGGGGAGCCCAAGAGTGACAAAGTGTCTTCTTCTTCAGATTTTAGAGAGAAAAAGAACGAACCAAAGAAGAAAGAAGGCTAGGGTTTGCTCCAAGTGGTGAATTGGGAAGATTAGCACAAACTCAAAGGAGATTGGAGGCATCACCATGATGGTTTCTACCTCTTCCTCTTGTGTTCTTCCCCTTTACTAGCATGGAGTAGTTTCCTTTTTCACTTGGGTGTTGTGAAACCCTAACTATTTGCCATGTAGTTGTTGTGTGGTTTGAATGATTGTTTATGGGTGTTATTTATTCAATGATTGAGGTATTTTTCATGTTGATTGTGCATGTCTGTGCTTAGCAATCCAATTGGCCATTCTAACCTATTAGAGGGAAAATCACCTTTCAAGGGAGGCTCAATTGAGTTGGGATTCCTTGGGCTTTTTAAGTCACCAATCTAGGTTAATGTAGGGCAAACCTCTATGTTGAATTAAGCAATTTGGTTAAGCGCAATTAAGCCGACCAACCCTTGGGTTGAGTGAGAGAGTAATTCAACCATCGATTGCCTTAACCAAGAGGGCTACTTGAGTAGCCTATAATGTATCCCTTGGTTTGGCAATCGAGAGTGTGGTCTACGACCATTGTTGTATTTCCTAGCGGTTCGCGGTCACCTTGCCTATAGCAATCACTTCGATTCACATGCCATAGTAGTAGTTAGGGGGTAGCGACACCCGAGTGATCCTTCTCACAAAGAGCTTTCAAAACCATTTACTTTTGTCTTGTTTTACTTTAATTAGCAAACTTTTCAACCATTATCGATTTTCTAGATAATGTTTCAAACAATTGAAGTAGGAGTACACAGACCGGCCCGAGTCGATGTTTAAACATACTTGCCATGTATTGCACCCTACCCTACTAAGGTTTATACTTGGACCTTAGGAGAGAATTAATTGTGATATTTGGAGCGAGTCACTTGTATAATTCTCCTTGTCGTAATGATTCTTTATGTGATATAGGTTTACTTGAGTTTTTCTTGTATAATTCTTGAAAATGGTTTATACTTGTTTGGTTGAGCCAAAAACAACTTTAGTACCTATTTTTTATAATTTACATTTTGTTACGTAAATTTAAATTTTTAAGCGATAAGTACCTTTAAAAAATTATGTTCGGTGCTGAATGTTTTTACAATGACATTTTCATATCTAAACTTTTCAATATTTACAAAACAATCTAATGTTTGAATATCATTTGAATCCACCAATCCATTTTGATCTATCAATCCACAATTTATCATTCAATTCAATTCAATCCATATGCCTTTTTTTGTTTTCCATTTGTCACTTCTAGAGGAAGTGATTCACTACAACGATTTCCTAAAAAGGCACAGTTAAAAGTAACGCACTCAAAGTTCTCATTTGATTCACAAACGTCATCTTACACAGTCCCAACAGCATACATGCAAACAACGGTTTCGGTGATGGAAGGTCACCGGTTCCAAACCCAATTCACGTCTTCATCTGATTTGCATTATAAAAAAAGTACTGCAAGCTACTACATTATTACTACTGGACTATATCCTGCCACTTCCATCTTCGTATTCCTAAGCCTTGTTCCCCCGATCTTCAGCAGAGACGGGATGAGAAACGTATATCACCATGAAAGCATCTGAATCTGATACGTCAAGATTTAAGCCTCCTTCCCTCCGCCCTCCCTTTCTTTTCTGATTGGTGAACAAAAAAAGCACAAAAGATGCACAAGTAGTATGAAATAGTAATTATATGGAACCTGCATAACCACGAAATTAATGGAAAATAACCCTGGAGAGGAATGTTGTTGAATGATGCATGATTGACATGTCGGAGTCGGCTAGATCGCTTCCCAAATTTTAGGAGAAAAGAAGTGTGAGTCTAGCATGAAGGAGAGGAGCTTGTCAAGTTAGCCAAGTTGACTGCCTGAAAATCTAAACAAGATCGACCAAAAATCGATATGCATGCTCAGGAGCAGGCAAGTCATCCTTGGCTACCAAACAAGAAGCTCCTCTCTCCTTGTTAGACCTCTTTTCTCAATGTTTCTAGCTAATTAAGCTTGCTCTACTGCACATATTTGGCTAATGCGGGAGCCTCTCCTTTATAGCTAGAAATTGTGATGGGGAACAAAGATAGATAAACTGATTCTTGCTTGCTTTTCTTTCCATATATATTCTGTCCCAATCCAGAAATCAACTTTCATTTGTGACCACTCTCTCTTCTGGGTTCATTCTTCATGAAATGGGATATATTCTCTCTGACCCTTACTAGCTTTTTCTCTCATGTCATCATGGTTGACCTTACTCTGCAAATCTAAGTGGGATTGAAGCATCTATATTAAACCACTGTTGTGCCTCCTCACAAAACGTAGAGTCATTTATACTACATTCTGCCACTACTACGCACTCCCAAAACAGCGCATCGATCTGATTAGGCTAAACAATTAACACATGTTAGCCGGTACAATCGGGTTCAACCAGCAGCGACATAAAATAGGGTGGAATACTCCTGATATGGTTGGGATGACAGATATTTGGCTTATAAACAACATTAACGTCATTTTGGCGAATTTAATTTTTAAAAAAATCAATTTGTGACTTGTTTCATGAATTTTAAATTTAAACGTTGATGTTACGAATTCGTTGAATTCGAGTATGAACATCTAAATGTTTATGTTATTTGTTGTGTTCAAATATAAACGTTTTGATGTTTGCATTAAATGTTGTATTCAAATATGAGGAATTTTTATTTTATTTGAAATCTTATATTTTTTTAAAATATGAATCTAGATATTGGACAGGTTATCTACAAATATGTTATATTTATATTCCTAAATTTATATGCTTTTAATTGTTTTCCATCTCTCCAAATATTTTGTTAAAATCAGTATAAACTGCTTATATTCTGATTGAAACATACTATCTTTTAAATCTGCGTAAAAATATAAACCGGTATGACAATTGATATATAAAGTTATGTCGGTCACACTAACCACAAGTCAGATTGGTACTGTAGCAACTAATACGTTTGGTTGCTATATATGTCCATCACGTTTGCGACACTAATATTTCAATACGCTGGCAACATTTTTTCCCCGGTAATTCTTACAGCATTTTTAGATCGAGCGCGAAAGGCAATTATGTGGAAGCATTGTACATTAAACCGTACCGGCAGTTCAACCACGAAATACAAGTATCGGACGCTCAACCGATATGCGTATTTATCGGTATAACGGTTGAACTACGGTTAAACCACGATTTTACCATAAAATACCCGAAAAAAACCCCAAAGTACACATGTTCTTAAAAAAATTCCCAAAATACATAAGTTATAGAAATTTTTTCAAAACTACACATTTGGTATTCACCGTTTTTTACAAACGCAGTGAAGACTATCACCGCGCTTGACAAGCACGGTGAATAATTCACCGTTTTAAATCAAAACGGTGAAGTATTCACCGTTTTAATCTAAAACGGTGAACCAATCACCGCTTTAAACTAAAACGGTGAAGATATCACCGTTTTAGTAGGAGATGGTGAATATATCACCGTTTTAGGGCAAAATGGTGAATACCTTCACCGTTCTAGGTTAAAACGGTGAGTATTAGGCACGTTTTCAACCCCTGTTAGGTGAAAACTAGGTAAGAGCTACCTAATGTTCACCGTTTGAGACAAACGCGGTGATGGTGTTCACCGTGTTTGACAAAAACGGTGAACTTTAGGCAGATTTTCCTATAAATACCAGCTCACCAGCAATTATAAAAGCAAAACCATTCCCCCCCCCCCCCCTCAAATTTCAGCAACCAAAACCGAGCATAATACACAGGCAGGGAATTTTCGGTATGATTTATTTTGCGTATTATAGGTTAATGATGGGTTTTTAGTAGTTATAGTATGATTTAATTTTCGTATTATAGCGTAATGATGTTTTTAGTAGTTATATTGTTATGTTATTATGAATTACTTATCGTAGCAATTGTATTACTTAATTTTTGAATTTATGTTGTTGTTAGTTAGTTGAATTTATGTTACGTTAGTTATGAGATGGAGTAATATTAGTCGTACAATATGGTTTTGGTTAATTTTACTGTCTTTAAACTAATAGTTTAACTTATTGTAAATTGTAGATATGGGTAAATTCAAGAAGTTTCGGCTTATTATTCGGTGGAATGGAAGGGTGACAAACTCTGACATAGGGATTGATTATGAGAACGGTGAATCCACTATGCTGAAAATTGAGTCGTGATTCGATTTTCAAGAACTCTGTGATATTTGTGCAGACAGGGTTTGTACGAGCGGACAGACAAGACTTGGCAAAATTAGTTACCGGTATCCAGACATGAGTGCTGGCGGGGTTGTGTACCAAGAAGTTGTCATAAACGATGATGACACGGTTACGATGATGTTGGAGTTCCTAAGTGATAACAGGACGCGGCTTGCAGAGGTGTATGTTGAGACCGAGGCGGTCGGTGAAACTTATTCTCACCAGTATTCTTATGATGATGGTTTTGCAGGAGGGTACAGATGGGGTGGTAGTTCGAGCAACTACGAAGGAGGTGGTTATACAGGAGTTTATGGAGAGGGTGGTAGTTCAATCAACTACGGTGGAGGTAGTAGTGCAGGATGGGTGCCGTCGGAAGAATACTCGCAACAGGATCAACCTGCCGATGGCATTCAATGGCCTGCTTGGGGGACCTTAGCGGGACGGGGGCTTTAGGGTCAAATTGTTACGATTAAAAATAAGAACAAAAAAAAAACTACACGAAGAGCCTCTTCGTCCATTTTTTGGCAGAAGCCGGACAGAGTTTCGACGGGTTCAGGTTTGTAAGGGACGGGACCTTAGCGGGATGGGGGCTTTAGGGTCTAACTCTAGTAATTCTTTCTGATGTGGAAGATCGGATTTATCCGCAACCACATAGCATACTTAGAACGAGACTAGAGCGGATAAATTGACGGAGAAAGAAGAATAAGTTGAGGTGTGATTTGTAAGGTGGGGGGGGGGGGGGGGAAGGGATCTGGCGAATTAAATTTCTGGGATACTTCACCGCGTTTGTGGAACGCGGTGAATACACCGCGGAAGTCAAAGGCGGTGATGGGGGCGACGTGGACCAGCTGTGAGGCGTCGGATCTGGGAAGAAAACCACGATCCGCCCCTCACCGCATCTGACGGCCACGGTGAAAGGAAATGCGACGCGGATCGCTGACGCAAACAAACACGGGGTATTCACCGCGTTTGTCTAACATGGTGAATACCCCGCGGTTGACCACGTCAGCGATCCGCGTCGCTTGATCGTGGCCAACTACTACGGGTAAGTATTCACCGCTTTTAATTAAAACGGTGAAGTTTCACCGTTTTAATCCAAAGCGGTGAATACTTCACCGTTTTAATTTAAAGCGGGGAATACTCACCGTTTTAATTTAAAACGGTGAAATATTCATCATTTTTGACAAACGCGGTGATAGTCTTCACTGCGTTTGTCAAAAACGGTGAATGCCAAACATGTGTAGTTTTGGAATTTTTTTAATAACTTATGTATTTTTGGAATTTTTTTAAGAACTAGTGTACTTTGGGATTTTTTCCTAAACTACCCTATCTAGCTTTCCTGGTACGGTCTCCGGTACGGTTTCATGGACCATGTGTGGAAGTCGAAATTGAAACAGAGATGAAATATCGCATACACAGTGATGGCAATTTGAAATTGTTCCGCGAATATTACTCTATATGTTTTGTGATGGGTGAATATTATTCGATTTTCAGTAGCGTGGGGTGAGCCTGCGTATCTACTTTCGACTCACCCCGTCCTGCCCGTCTCGTCCTGTTTTTGGTCATTTTGTATCAATTTGTTACAGTACCGTCTATTCATATTTCTGCTATTTGGACTTTTTCAACTAGTTAAACTCGATTTCATACTAGTTAGACTCAATTACTCATTCTATCATCACTATTTTTCATTCATAAAGTGTTTTCCCTTCGTTTTAACATAAAAAGTAAAATTTTACGTGTATTTTTTAAATAACATATAAAAGTGGGTCGAGTCCCATCCCTAATCACAATAACGTAAGACGAGCCATGAAAATTGAGGTACCCGCCCCAACGCCATCGCTACGCGCGCATGCATGCAGAATACTTTGTCATTAAAACTCGAATTGATCAATCTCAGAGGACTGGTTACTATTTACTAGTCACCAAAAATATGGAATTATTACATTTTTATATTTTGCAGTCATAATGAATACACAGTGCAGCCAAATTAATTCCTTCCAATATTTTTACCACAAGGGAAATATAACATCTACCGAAAACCTATCCAAAACAACATTTAGTTAGTGAAACCACTATACAAAATTGAAGGATGCTAATTCTAAAGAAGACATCAATAGGATATTTTGTGCCACGCTTTGGGTTTTTCTGCGGAACCATCCTATAAACTATAAAAAGAGGACACGATTCCAATAACTGACAACACTCTCAAAGTTGGGTACCGCTCAACAAAATTTCCACCGTCTTATATGGTCCAGTTGTCGGATCACCAGTCCAGAATCACCTTTGACGATTCAATAATCATGCAATTGTAATCTTAAACAAATTGATGGGTGTTCTTACCTTGACCTAATTACATGGTTACTCTCATAGGTCAAAGAACTAAATATTAGGATGGCAATTTTATCTATACTCATGGATAGTTTTTTACTATCCAATCCAATTGGGTTGGGTATAAAATCCAAACAGATAGATATGGATAGAGTTTGATGGTTTGTGTTAGCGGATTATACAGGCCCATGTTCAGGCCTTCTTTTATTTCCGTTGTGCAGCTCATTTATTGTGCCCATGAAGCCCATGCAAGAGCTGCTCGGGTACGTGGAGAGAGTAGCTCTAGGGTTTGTTTTGTAGTCCTTCTCGTTGTATATAGGTTGAAGAAGGCTATGAGTGCTGTACAGAAAATATTCACAATAAGATCAGTAGCTCGAAGAGTTTTCACTCTTCCGTGGATTAGTCCTGGATTCTCCAGGGATACCACATAAATCCGGTGTCTATTTCTTGATTTCCTTTCCATTTCCGTTCAGTTCATCATCATCAAATTCGGATAATCTATCATGGTATCAGAGCATACTTCGTCAATGGATTCTGATAGACCTTCTGTTCGGCTCACTTCAACAAACTTCGCTCTCTGGGAATTTCAATTCCGTGTCTTCGTCGAGGGGCGCGGCCTCCTAAGTTTTCTTGATGGCACATGTCCTCGTCCTCTACCTACTGCCGCAATTCAGGAGCAAGCTCAATGGAATCAAAGCGATGCTCGCGTCCGCCACTGGTTGCTGGGATCTGTCGATCCATCCACATGTCTGAGTCTCCGTCTATTTCCAACAGCTCACGCGATGTGGAAACACCTAACTTCAACCTATTCCACCGTCAATGTTGCACGGCAGTTCGAGATTCAATTGGCCTTGGCTCGGCTGGAGCAAGGGGATAAATCAATCACGGAATACTACAACGCCGCAACGGAGCTGTGGACGGAACAGGATATCCTTACTGCTGCACTGCATCCTCAACCCGTCTCCGCCGACGCTGTCAAGGAACGACAGCAGACCCGATTGTTGAATTTCCTTATGCGCTTGCGACCTGAGTTTGAAGCGGCGCGCTCCACACTGCTGAACAGGGATGATTTGCGTTTTGAGGGCCTGCTATCTCATTTGGTTCGCGAGGAAATAGAATTCGCACTCAGGCAAATATAGATGTTTGCCCTAGTGCTGGAGAAACGGTGCTGGCTGTGGCGGGTCAAGAAGCTGCTTATTCGGTAAATCGTCCCTCGTTTCATAACAAACCTATCCCTAATGATATTGAGTGCCATTTTTTTCATGAACGAGGGCATCCTAAGAAGCATTGCCGGTAGTGGAATGTTTGTGTTTATTGTAAAAGAGCTGGGCATATCATACTTGAATGCCGAACTCGTCAATGGAACGAGGCTAGAGCTGTCGGGGACGGTTTTGATTATGACTCACGATTTGAACGAGCCAACAGTAGCTCAATAGGGAGGACCTATAATCACCGAGCAGCTCGCCCGCCTACTGGAGAACGCACAGCCCATGCGACGGCGCTTGCAACTGGGAACCAGCAACTCGATTTCGGCAGCAGTAGTGGAGGGAGTCTCTCGGCAGCTGACGTTGAACATATGGTCAATGCTGCTTTGCAAAGGTCGTTGCCTACAGCCATTAGTGCTGCCTTTGCTACACTGAATACCTCAGGTAACACTTCTCCCTGTTGCTCTACTCTGCATGCTTTAATCATATGACGAATGCATCGCGTAACTTGAGTAATGTTATTCCCGTAAAAGATATGTCATTGAGTGTGGCAAATGGTGGTAAACTGAATGTTCAAGGAATGGGATTGATGCATAAACAGAACTTGACTTTGCCCGATACCCTACACGTTCCTGGTTTAGTTCCGAATTTGGTGTCAGTGGGACAACTTACTGAACAGGGTTGCTCTGTTTTGTTTGCACCGTCGGGATGTGTTATAGAGGATTTGAAGACGGGGAGGCAGATCGGAAAAGGGAGTAAGCAGGGAAGAGTTTTTCACCTAGACGAGCTACGTGGGAGTTCAGTGTCATCTTCAGCTTTTGGGTCATGTGTCAGTAGTCCTTCTTTGTCATTGTCAAAACCGCTTTCTTGCAATTCGGCAGGGTCGGTTTCTTTTTAAACCATGTCAAATAATGTCTTGGATCTTTGGCACTCTAGATTAGGTCATCCTCATTCTGGTCGTCTTGAAATGATGTTTCGACAATCTCTACTTGGCAAAAATCGTGTTAATTTTTCTGCTCCTCATTCCTGCACTAGTTGTGTTGAAGCTAAAACGATTAATATTTCTTATCCCTCGAGTACGATAGTAATTACTTATCCGTTTCACATCATTCATACTGATCTCTGGGGACCATCTCCTACCATCTCTCGTCGTGGCTATCGTTATTTCGCTCTTTTCATTGACCATGCCACTAGATTTGCTTGGGTTTATTTTCTCCGTCTCAAATCAGAGCTCAAATCTGTTGCTACTGATTTTTTGAAAATGATTCAAACTCAGTTCAATCGTCCCGTCAAAATTATTCGTTCTGATCCTGGTGGTGAATTTAGTTCAGCTCCGCTGTATGAAGTTTATCGATCTCTTGGTGTTTTAACTCAGCAGTCCTGTCCCGGTATTTCCCAGCAAAATGGTTTAGTAGAAAGGAAAAATCGTCATGTCATGGATTTAACTCGTGCCCTTCTGTTAGAATCTCATGTTCCTGGTCGTTTCTGGCCTGAAGCAGTTGCAACTGCTGTTCGTCTCATAAATTATCAAATCACTCCCATTCTGCGAAACACAAGTCCCTTTTTTGCTCTCTACTCCCGTCATCCTAATTATTCCCGCCTCCGTGTCTTTGGGTGTCTGTGCTTTGTTCTTCTTCCAAAGCGAGAACGTACAAAACTCACGTCTAAAACAGCTCGGTGCGTCTTCTTGGGATCTAGTGACGTACACAAAGGGTACTTGTGTTATGACCCTCTTGTTCAACGTGTCTGAATCGCCAGTACTGTCATCTTTTTTGAAAATGTCATGTTCCACTCACCTGAGTCTTTTCCGGCCTATTTCCTTCCTGCCAATCTTCCTCTTCCCACGTTTGCCAACGAAATGGATGATGAATTTATCCCTGCTGTGGATCATCCTGATCCTCCCTCTCCGGATCTGTCTCCCGCAACGTCAACGGCTGTCTCTTCATCAACTGCCACCTCGCCGCCAGCTGCTGCGTCGTCCTCTTCATCAACTGCTGCCTCGCCCAGCTCACCGACTACCACCGACTCCATTTCCTCTGCCAGCGCCCCAAATTCACCTCCTCATGATACCGAGCCAGCTCCACGTCGTTCAGAACGGGTCACCAAAGGGGTTCCTCCACCAAAATTTAATGACTACCTAGCATATGGAGTAGACTCTATAGCGGTTCCAACTCGCTACCGTCAAGCCAAGGGCCATCCTTTGTGGGAAGCTGCTATGCGTCGAGAATTAGAGGCACTTCATGCAAGTAATACGTGGACTCTAGTTCCTCAACCACTTTCTTCTACTTCAGTTGTCGGATGTCGTTGGGTCTACACCGTCAAGATGAAACCAGATGGTACGGTGGATCGGTATAAGGCTCGACTAGTTGCTCAGGGATTTACTCAGGAATATGGCATTGACTATAGTGAGACGTTCGCACCAGTTGCTAAGATGGCGACAGTTCGTACTTTATTGTCTGTTGCTTCTCTTCGTCAGTGGCCATTATACCAGATGGACGTCAAAAATGCTTTTCTTCACGGCGATTTAGATGAAGTTATTTACATGGAACCA